GTATGTATGTTTATATATATATGTAAAAAAGGCTAATTGTCTTGCAAAAAGAGTCATTTTAAAGTGAAATATTTACAGTTTTTGAAGCACAAATGTGACCCATTAAATCAAATCAGGGATTAAGTTGGATTTGAAGCTAAACTAAACTCAGATTCTTGATATTTTAAGCGAAATTTTTAGATTAGATTAGAAAGAACTTAATTGATCCTTGGGAGGGGTTCCTCAGGGAAATTACATTTTTATACTTAGATCAACTTGAAATCATGAGCAGTTCCAGAAACATGGTTTGATTTGTCTTGATAATCGAGAAAACTCCTGAAAATTTGGTCTGAATCCTATTTTTGCAATTTTATCTACTTATTCTATTTTTGTATTTTTGAAATAATTTTGGTAGCACGTAGGATCTTTCTGCTCATAATCACTGGTCTTGTTCTTTAGGATTATATTTCAAACATTTCCTTCAAAGGACTTGTAGATGATTTTGAAAAAACTCAATTAAAGCAAATTTTCCCTCCAGTCTGACACAATCCTGGGTTTGTTGTTCTGAGTCACACGTTAGCTGAAGTCTCAGAAACACAAACAGCTTCATGCTAACTGAGCTCTTCACACTTGGAGCTTCTAAAGTTTACCAGCAACTCCAATAAAAAGATGAATATGACAAAAATCAAACCTAAGAGGTCTCAGCGGTCTTACACAGAACCTCCACCAGGTTCTGCTCTGATGATGGAGACACTTCTTGGCTTCTCCACACATTTTTTTTTTCTCTGTTCACATTATCTGGATGAAAACAACGTCAAAAACTAAATATTTTTATGCTCTCGAGGTGGAAAAGTTGATGTAAATTTAATGAAAGGCAGTGAAAGAAGCCAGTGAGGAGAAAAACAATAACTAACGTTATAATAAATAAAAATGTTGATGTTTTGATCGTTTTGCTTCTGGAATATAAATGGACTCAAGTGGAGGAATCGAATGTTGATCAACATAAACACTTGCTTATATGGATTTGACCAAATTAACTTTAGCTCTTTAACTTTTAAAAACGTTTTTAGCTCAGGAGGATGAGGAGACAAAACAAAAAAATTGCTAATTGAAAAAGTTGCAACCCCAAAACGTGTGGCTTTTGTTTACAAATGCTGATTTCATTGGTTGAGGTTTCACTCTGACAGCAGCACCTGCAGAAACTTCAGACTCGTGATGGAAACACCTGACGTTTCTAACACCGACCACGCTGAGGAAAACAGTTTCCGGCTCAGAGGAGGGAGGCGAGACCGAACCTGGGGAGCAGGTCTCGACCTCGCAGGGGGACAAAAAAAAAGAAATGTGCAAAATAGGTATGAGTAGAGCTGCACAGGAGGTGCCAAATCTGAGGGAGGGTCATGTGGTTTTCCTGAGAAGAAGGCGTGGTTTAATCGGATGAATGCAGTGAAACATGAAAACAGCTTTAAAAAAGGAGAAGGTCTCATCCTCGAATTGTTCCAGAAACTCCTCTTCATTGTCCAAACACAAAAAAATTAAATACTGGCAAACGTGACTCACACGCGTCCACAGTTGAAAAAATCCACACCGACGTAGCGAGGGTAGCCTTCCAACGAGGTCATGGCCACGGGATCAAACTTCCAATAGAGCCGACCTCGGATAAAGTGAGCGTAGCCTGAGAAAACAAAAACTGGTTATGATTTTATTTTAATAAACTCGACTTCCTTACTTTAATGAGTTTGTGTATTTGAAATATTTATTAGTTTCAGGGAAGAATGTTGAATCAGGAAGTGAAAAGCTGAGGCTGATATAGAATAAAAACATTTCCACTTCCTGTCCTGCTAAGAGGTTTATATTAAGAACAACTTTTCTGTAAGTTTTATCAGCACAAGATATCTATCTATCTATCTATCTATAAA